CCTACATCGGTAACGGTTGATACTGGAACCAGGAATTAAGTGTTTGGACAATATTGGCAAAAAGGTAATATCGGACATCCCTAATATCAACCCATACCAATATATGCAGAGTTTGAGTTGAATGCAGAGTACACATAAAGATTCTTAACAATATTACATAATTACGCTAATATAGGCCAATAGCATCGGTCAGCTGATGGTCCCTAGTCTTAGCAATGTGGAAACACTCAAAGATACACACAAAGATAATGGCTGGATGGCTGGATGGATGGATGGATGGTCTGAGAGGTTAACAGTCCCTAATGCTGACATCAGACTAGAAACACTAATGTGGCAAAAGCACTTACATGGACAAACTCCACTTCTCCTTTGGGCCTGAAGAACCATTCCACTGTGGACGTGCTGTCCACTTCGCTCCTCCTCTTGCAGGAGATGCAGCCCAGTTTGAAGCCTCTTCCTGCCACGGCCTCCGTGTCGGAGTCCACCTCTGCACAGGCCGCATCGCCCCAGGACACTTCAAATATAATAAAATACAACCATGCGCTTATTGGTTTTTTTTTTTGGCTTTCACTCGATGTGGCACAGAGAGAGAAACAAAAAAAAAGGAATGTGAAGACCGATCACGACACAACTCACCCAACAGCGTGCAGAGCAGAGAGAGGAGCAGTACATGTGGTGTTGCCATGTCACAGATGCTGCTGCGTTTCTGGACCCAGGTCCTCAAAAAGTGCCAATGTTGACAGTAATGCACTTTTACCTTTGCAGACGAGCTCCTCTGAGTTCACGAGGAGGGCGGAGGATTCAAAAGATAGTTTGGGACCGCAGGGCGCTGGAAGTGTTTGTGCCTACAAGGTAATCATGCATTGCAAAGTGCAAAAAAAGGTATTCACTGGAGTGGGTCTGGTGGAGTCCAGGTAGCTCCACAGTACCGTGGTGATGTTCGTGGCTCTGCTTCTTTGGCTCTAACCAGCAACAGTTTCCTGTTGGCTGCAGGATTTGTTGCCTGGGATTATTGCTGCTTTTGAGACGGACGATTCCTGCACCGGGGCTTTTTTGGAGTTTAACCCCAAAGCTGCATTATTAATCTGTTCTAACTGTCGGTCTGGTTAAACTCCAGTTAAACACTGGGATTATTTTCTTGTTCTTTTGTCCTAATGTGAGATGCACAGAGCAGCCATCGGAGCCGCCTGAGGCCACATGCTCTGCTATCCCTTCTTTGTTATAGAATAGGAAAGCACTGCTTTTATCGAAGACCGTTTTATATAATGTGCAACAAGCCAGCTACATACCAAGGCATCACTTCAATACATTTAGATTCACGGCTTGATAACGTGCACGCTCCGGGGTGTAATCTGAAGGCAGGCTGCAGGCTACAAATATGTAACACAAACGGTGCAAATAAATAAATTGAAAATAGTGAATCAGCGCCTACTGTGGTGAATCAAAGGCCTCGCCTCCTCGTCAGAGTCCGTTTCCTGCGACGACTGAAGCTCGCAGTGAAAACACATGGAAACCTCGCCTATCTAATGACCCTGCGCTGGGAGAAGAGATGCTTCATTCGGCCTGACATTGCAGATTAGGACGGTGCGCGTCTCACCGCCTCACACAACCGCACAGGGGGAGAAAAAAATCTATGAATAAAATGTACCATCAGCCGTGCTTTGTTTTCTTCCTGCCGCCCTGCGCCACGGCGCAACCTCTGTCGCTGCGTTCCGAGGATGCTGCAGATGCACTGCGGTAAAAAAAGAAGGGGGAAAAAAACGGATGTGCGGGTGTGTGTTTGTGTGGCTGACGGAGCAGATGCTATTTACAGGGGCGTAGCTCCAATCTGGCTCTGCCTCCAAACCAGGTCTTATCCAGGGACAGGGGGCTTCTGAACAGCTGACTACATATTGTATAATATAATATAATATAATATAATATAATATAATATAATATAATATAATATAATATAATATAATATAATATAATTTTATTTTTGGGTGAAAAGATTTTTTAAATTATTAAGTGTGATGTCTGGAAATTTTGCTACAGAGTTTTTTTTCTTGCCACGGCATTTAAGAAACAGACAAAGGCTTTAGCTAGTTTACAATAATACAAATATGATTTTTTAAAAGTATAATAGGTTAAAATTATACTGTGAGTTTGCGCTTCAGTGTACACATCAATGGATGGATGAAAAGTGGAGATGAAAAACAAACATTTTTGATGTTTAAATAAATGTATATACTTATGGTGTCAATGAAAATGTATTTAATTTAAAAAAAACCCCTGGCTATAACTAACGTATTTATTTTGTGTCCCTTCTCGACCTGTGTTATTATGTAAAAGAACACACAGAGGTGTGGTGGGTTCGAGTCCCAGAGGTACCACACGTCCCTAATGCTACCTCCCCTGTGGCAGACTGTGTGGTTGCACAGACTAACACTGTGACTCTCCCAGTTGTGGAATGAATAAGGGACTCAGTTATAATTGATTATCATCATACAATTTAGCTTTTAATGTTTGAGTGTGAAATTAGTTGAAATGATAACACTGCTTAGTATGGAGACTCTGAAACAGTTTGTTTTTGGGCTTTTTGGACACTGTAATCATGTTGGGTTTCATATTCAAATCTGTCTGTTTCTGAGCAATACAAATGTATTAATTATTTAGCTATAGTTTAGCCACAATGTTGCTAACATTTCCATATGTGTTCGGCTGATCTGGGAACAGTGTGTTGCATTAAGGAATTCACAGTGTCTGGTTCATATATATAAATTCTCTGGTTGCCATTTACGAGCCAAATAAACGCAGATGACGACAAAATTGATCTATTTAATATTAATTTATCTCGCATCAAATGGTTACACCGACAGCAAGCCTTATGTGGGGCATTTCTCTAAATAAGAGAGACATTTTGTTAGAATTGAAGTGGTCTTTAAATGAACTCCCCCTGCGACGCACGTCACGACTTGTCGCCTAACTGCCTTCAGCTGCGTTCTCACCAAACTTTAAGATTACACCAGAAAGAATGCTGACTTTGTTTGGTCATTTGTATAATATATTGAAATTAAAACAACCTAAAGTTGAAGCGCCAGGTTTACTTTAATTTGAAGCACAGAGTATAAACTTAACAAACGCCCACTTGTGTCCGTTAGTCAACTGCGATGCTCAAAAAGCCCCAACAAACCGCCGTTAGCATTCGCTAGCTCGGTAATTTACAGTACTCCAACATGGTGGTTGGGGTATATTTGTTGGTGAATTTAAGAACAGAAAGGTATACCGCATCAAACCAGTGACGTGTGTTTTTAAATGTGAAAACCGGAGTTATCGACAAAGGTAAAGTACGATGCTAACCCATCTCGGCTAACTCAGTAGCATTGTCCAATCTCAACTGTAGTTGGGTTAGCTCGAAGCTAACTTGTTATTGTACTTGAATTTAGGTTGCAAAATATGGCCTAGTTTTACAAACACAAGGGTCTTTTCATTTTTATTACGATATATTTTGATACATGTGCTAGTAACAGCTCTTAAACATTGTCGTATTATTATTTACAAGCTAAATGTGCCGATGGTCATCTAAGGGAACCTAATTTATTCATAGTTTTCAAATTGTTTTCACTACTGTATATATATATGTATATATATATATATATATATATAGGCAAGTAACAATAAATAATAAAAGAGCTACATTTATTATATGTGTTGCTAATTACTATTATAATTATAATAATTATCATTATTAATGATTATATCATATGTATTTTATTGTCTGAAAATGATTATATCATATGTATTTTATTGTCAAAAGTGTTGTTGTTTTTTTCTGAAAAGAAGTACGGAATAATTGCTATTTTTAATTGTCTCTTTTCCATAGCCTGTCGTGACCATGGAATCACCCTGCAGTATGTCTGCAGCTTTAGCGACTCTGACTGTGCAGGTTTGTTTTCCTGATGCCCGGGCTACTGTTTTGGAAAATTTGAACTGCCAACGGGAGGAGGGACTGTTGTGTGATCTCTCGGTTCAGGTGCAAGGTCAGGTGTTCAAGGCCCACCGTTGTGTACTTGCTGCATCCTCACCCTACTTCCATGACCAGGTAGTAAAAGGGAGATACCAAAAGTCAAAACTCATAACAATTTCCTGTTTTCTTCACCTATTGACTAGACAACTGTAGATCATAATTAACTTTGCCTGTGTTTCCTTGTAGGTTCTACTGAAAAATGTCACAACAGTTTCCCTCCCCTCCATTTTGGACCCAGTAGCTTTTGAGGGTGTCCTCAGTTCTGCCTACACGGGCCAGTTGAGCATTGTGCATGATGACATTGTCAATTACATCACTGTGGCCAGCTTCCTTCAAATGTGGCACATTGTGGACAAATGCACGGAGATCTTGAAGAGGCCTCAACCTGTAGGAGAAGCGCCCCCTTGTAATGCCACCGTTGGCCAACAGGGTACTGTATCACGACAGCAATCCCCAAGTAGTACTGAGTGTTTAAATCTGGAGAAGGAAGGGAGATGGAGGGAAAAGAAGCCCGACGCCCTGCCTCCGTTGGCTTCATGGAGGCGTCCACAGCAGTTCCCCAGGTGGGGGAATCCACGACACTCGTCACCCCAACACCTCGCTGACACTCAGTTTGACCCGAGTTTGCCCAGCAGTATGGAGACTGGTTACCTCAGCGGTGAGGAGATGTGGATATCCAGCAATGCAAAAACGAGTCACTTGGGACACGCAGTAGCTGAGCACAACAGCTGCCAGCACCGAGGAATTCCTACTGGTAAGACATCAAGGCAGAGAGCAAGGCTTCAACAGTGGAGGGCGCCGCCAGGCATTGACAGACTGCTGAATAAGAACAGAGGGAACAGGGACAATGATGAAACCCAAGAAAGGAGGAAAAGTGACGAGAGAGAAACTAAAAATGATGTGGACGAGGAGGTCGTCGACAAAGAAGGCCTCAGGAAAACGGAGCATTGTGGTAAGACAAAGAAAGTTAACTTTTAGTTCCAGCAGCAACACATTGTGATATTTATGGTTTAATTATGATTGAGTGGCATGAGGAAAGAAGTAAATGCAAATTCACCAGACTGTGATATGTACACATTTATCACATGACCTTAAGTTTATTTCTGGGTATTAGAAAAAAAATACAGCGTTAGAAAATCATTTCCTGTTCAGTTTTCATGTATGCAGTTTGGGCCATGCTATACAGTATGTTTCCATGAAGGTTTAGACCAGTTATATAACTACATGTACATGTCAAGAGCATGTCAAGAGCAAGCCTGTTGTTAAGATTGTCAAATGTGCAGTGATGCACTCTGGGTAGGAAATGATGCCAGGGACAGTTTGCTCAAGGACAAACCCTGCAGTATTGGGAGTCAGGATGAGAAACCAGAACCAGGCAGTAAGTCATTTCATTTAATTTCTTGTTATGAGACTGTCATAAAATCTAATAAACTCAAGATTATTATGTTGATGTTATGTTTAAATATTTACTACATTTGGAATCACTAGAGAAGAAAGAAGAGAAAAAGAAAATAAACTAGGAATAAAATAAAATGAAACACTGTTACAGTTGACTGTTGGTGGTAATAGGAAATCAATATGTTGATGTAGAAAATCAATACGAAATATCCAGTACAGTCATGGCAGTACGAGACGGTAGACTCTAATAAGGCTTGTTCGTGCTTTAAGGGAAAGTGTTTTTTTTTCCTTCTCTCCAGACCAGGACATTACTACACATCAGAGTGCTGACGCTGTGACAACGCCAGTGACCAGCTTAGACATGATAAAGGAGGAAAAGCAGAGGAACCCTGTGGGAAGTGATCAATCGCTAAATGTGTCCGGCGTTCCTGTTTGTCTCACGGACGGAGATTCTTGTCCCTCTGGTCCGAATTCTGCACGGAAGCGCTGGCAGTCCGGTTCTTGGTCTCAGGGTGACCACGTGCTGCCGGAAATGGCAGGAGACGGCTATAGCAGGGATGAAGATGTAGATGAGGAAGAGGAGGAGGACGTGGACTTTAACTGTTTTACAGTAGGTCCATTGAGCAGAGGCACCTGTGAGGAGATGACCGATGGCCCTGGACAGGTTCCCCAGAAGCCTGCGGTCACTGCGTCCCCAGACTTCAGCCTCACAGACTCGGAGATGCACTGGTCCTCCCCCAGCGCAGTACAAGGTGGCTCGTTGACGCCCCCTACCTCCAGCCAGCACTTGTCTCCGTCCTCTACTGCTTGCCCTCCTCACTCCTCACCTACAGCGCCGTCTTCATCCTCCTCCTCCCTTGCAGGGAAAGTCCACTTCTGTCACTGTGGAAAGGCCTACACTGTGAAGAGCATGCTTTACCGACACGTGAAGATGCAGCACCTTAATTTACGGCCCTTCGACTGCCCCGTTTGCACAAAGTCCTTCAAAATGAAGCACCATCTCACCAAGCACCTTAAAACTCACGGTGGGCTGCGTCCCTATGAGTGCGGTGTGTGTGGGAAGAAGGTCATGTGGAGAGACAGCTTCCTCAGACATCAGGCCCGTTGTGAGAGACTCGCCTCAAGCTCCTCTGCAAACGGCAGCTCCAGCAAAGAACCAGCTTCAGACAAGGGTGGAGCCTACAGCTTTGGATTTGAAGAAGGGGAAGCTTTCACAGCCACAGTGGGACAAGTGAAGGTGGAGGAGGTGGACTTCACCGATGGGATGGAGGAAGACATAAGTGGCATGCTGGGAAGCATGTCGAGGATGGTGGACGAGATAAGAAAACCGTCACAGACTCTGAACACTGGCTGCCATGTTTTTAAAAAAGAGTCTTTGTAAGAAGACGGAATTCTTTGGACAACTTTTCAGGTGAATCACGGAACTGAATGTATTTATTTTTTTGGTGCAAAAATCTGATTTTTTTTAAATTACACTTTGAATAAAACCTCCCTCAGACTCATGAACAGTGGACGCTTGACACATATCAGCACCGTAGAACATTAAATTCAGAAAGCTAAGACAAAGCTAGGTTTAAAAAATATGGTGATAGAATTTCGGCGATGTGTGGAAACACGAATCACTCTGTCAGTCCATGTACACAAGTCTGTAAAGTTTCCCTGCTAAGCCACTTCATTTTCTTGCTGACTATTTATTGATGTAGTGTACTGTCTGGTGTTTATGTCAAAAATATTCTTCTACACATCTGAAACATTGACTCAACTAAAAAATCCATTCATTACGTTTATCAAACTTAATTTATAAAAACTAAACCCAAGACTCACTCTGTAAAGATTATTTGACAATCGACAAATGAACAGTAAAGTGAAATAATGTTATCCAGTTATTTGCCACTAGATGTCACTGTTTTACAGCCTTGCGGGATTTACGGACGGAAGTTTTCACTGGGTTTGAGAGAAGTGCACTCCTCCATCTTCCAATGAAATGGTAAACCAGCACAAACTTTTTACTATTTACTCCCAAAATTAACAAAAACTACATGTACTTGGCACTAACTTTATTGCTGTTCTGGGGTCCAAACCATTTTATATTTAGTATTTATTATTATTTATTATTTGTATTACATTTTAGATTACCTGTCTACGAGATCCCTCTGAAGCTGTGCCTACAGCACTGAGCTTATGAATGATATGCCCGTGACCGTTCACATTTCAATGTTAACTTTACATCTTTAAATATACCCTATAGTCAATGATTGATAATGATGTTTAACTCCTGGCACCCTGTGGTCTTTGTGCAGGTACAGCTACGAGACGTTGTGTTCCTGAGGGACTGGTTGTTGGGAGCAGGTCCTAGTTCTGTGTCTGGAGGACTACACAGTCTTTGGATTTTCTCGGTGTTGGTACGTACTCGGAAATATGAACAAATAATCGAGAACATGGATTCAGAAACAAACGTGCATTTAAATTATTAGGTTTTATGGATTTATCTTTGAAGTCGTGAAGATGAAATATTTTCTGCTATAAATTCTGAAAAATATTAATAAAAAAACTTCACTGCTTTTCTGTATAAATTAATTATTAATAATACACATTTCTAACCACTTTAACTGGTACGGGTGGGGGGCAATAGTGAAGCAGTGGTAGGACCTCTGTCTGCCACCAGAGGGCTCTAGACTTGATACCATCAAATGTTTTGTCTGTAAAGGAAGAGATGATTTCGGTAACGTTTCTCTGTACCTCGGTCTACACAGTGAGGTGTTTGTGAGGTATTTTTAAAACACAGTCAGCGCAGTAACTGAGAGACAACAGGAGACGTTTATTAGACCACAGATTAAAATAACTTGAGTCACATGAGGAAGATACGGTAGCACCAGTCACATGTCAGCGACCTCCGGTGACAGGAAAGATTCACACCTCACCGCCGAGACCTCACGACATGTACAACGCACAGTGGCGTTGCTTTCCATCATGAAACACACACCTCAAAACATCCGTCGACCCGACCCGGTCCTTCACCGACAGCTGCTAACCTTCCACCGCTGAGCTACTTACCATCTGACCCTCAACTGAAACTGAAACTACTCTATCCCATGTCACCCTTCAGGAAAAAAACCCCCAAAAAACCAATCACATCAAAACATTAAAATTACAAACACGTTTCCATTACATATGGGTGAGTGAGTGTGAGGTTGCGGAGGAGAACGTATTTACAGTAAACGTTATGTCGTAGTGCTCTTCGAAGGGCTTCTCGTTCGAGGCAGATGATCACAGTGTCTGTGTTAATTAGAAATATATATTAAAAAGCTTTTTTTTTTTTCGAGAAACGTCAATGTTTTGCACTGATGTTTGTTTTTCTTCTTTTTTTTTCCCCTTTGATAGTGGTGGTGTTGGTGTTTAATTCACAAACGATCCTGACGCACGAAACAAGTGTTATCTCTCTCTGAACAACGTGTTAATCTGACAGCGTGTCAATCACTACATCTAGTATAATCTTAATCAGCTGGAAGCAGTTACAGGTGATCCCAAAACAAAGTCCACAAAACAGGTTGGAGCACAGAGGCAAAAACAGACAAACAAACGTGTGGTAGAAACTCCCGGACAGCGGACGCAGCCACCAGCACCTCGACATGAAACAACACTCACAGACAGAGAACACCAGCTAACACTCAAGCTAACCAGAGAACGTCAGGTTACTGGATACATAACACATGGTGCGGTGACCGTCTTCGTCACTGTTTAAAGTCTAGAATACAATGCTTGTGTTAGCGTGTTAGCATCTCTCGAGGTTGTGAGTCCACTGCATGCTGATCTGCCCCCCCCCCACCCCTGCCCCCGGCCTGATAAGTTTCCTCCTCTTGTCCCATCGGCACACACAGGTCTGTGGTTTGGCCCTCAGTGGCGAGCTCAGAAGATGGTGCTCCAGCGTTTGGGGGGTGGACGGGACTTGGTTTCTCCCTGCAGAGAAAATGACAAAAGCTGGATTTGAAGAGCAGGACCGTGGGGGGAGACCGTGAAGGTTTATTCCGTAGATATGTTT